GGCTGGCTGGCATGTGGTGCTGGGGGATTGAACCGTGGTCCCTGTGCTTTGCTAAGCTTGTTCTAAGTAGGTGCTTTGGACCACTGAGCCATCTCACCAGCCCATAGAAATTCTTAATATTTTTGCGTCAGCACTTCTTTGGCTATCTTGTAAGACTGTGGAACTCTTCTAAGAGTATTTTTTTTTTTCTCTTGGAACCGGGGATTGAACTCAGACCCTTGCACTTGCCAGGGAAGCGCTTATTCCACTGAGCCATCTCCCCGGCCCCTCTAAGAGTATTTTTAAATATATAAAGTTAATAATATTATTAAGAAATGAGGGGCCTGGGATATAGTTCAGTGACAGTGCTTGCCTGGCAAGTGTGAGGTCCTCAGTTTGATTTCCAGTTCCAAAAAAAGAAAAAAAAATTATATTGAACTGCGGCTCAGTACTAAAGCAACAATAGTACCTTACACATTAAAATGAGATCTGTCACAGTAGCAGCATAAATGATATTTTGAGATCAGTAAGGACATGGAAATAATTGATTCTTCTTTGACAGTTACAGGCATGGCTACAACTGCCAGTTTTTCCATATTCATAATAGAAGGAATTGGTAGTATGAAAATAAAGGTGTCTGTTTTTCCCCTTCACAGACCCCCTGAATTCTATCAGTGATGCCCCATAAAAGGGTGTTTGGACCTGCGGGCATGCTGAGAAGTGGCAGACCATGTTTTGTTTTGTTTTGTTTTTTAGGCAGGTTTTCATGATGTTATTCAGGCTAGCTTTGAACTCACTGTGTAGCCCAGGATGAATCGGGCCAGTGTCTTGACTAGAAAGGTTAGAAATGCAGTGTGGATCTGATTCTTGAAGAGAAAAATACTAGTTTTAGAAACGAGATCTGGATGAAGTCCGGGATTTAGGTGGTACACTGTAAGGAGGTGCTAAAGCTGTGGTCATCGGTGTTGCACCAGTGTTACTATCGCAGTTTTAACAACTGCACCATGCTGACATTAGGGGAGGCTGGGTAAAAGAGCAAGTGAGAGCAGCCTCCTCAGGCTCCTGAAGACCCTGGTGCAGGGCATCCCTGAGCCAGTAGCAGTTACCAGGTGCTGAGCTGTGTCCTGGCTGTGTGGAGTCCTTAGCTGGGTGACTGTAAAAGTCACTTTTTTTTCTTTTTTTTGAGACAAGGCCTTGCTATGTGGTTTGTGTTGGCCTTAATTCACTATGTAGCCTGAATTGGCCTTGAACTTGTGGGTGATCCTCCTGCGTTAGCCTCCAGTGCTGGGATTACAAGTGGCACCACTCTACCTAGTGAACAAGTTACTCTTAACTTTCCCTTCCCTCCCTGAGAAAGTAGGGGTCAAGGTACCTCCCTTATAAGGAGGCTGTGTGTGAACTGGACAGGCATGTAGTGTCTAGCACATAGTAGGCCTCAGGAAACTTGGCGTGGACAGTTGTCCCAATCACAGATTTTTATGGGTCTGCTAGCTGTGGGGTTCAGTCCTGAGGAAGGAGGGGAGCACAAACCTGGTGCTTTCTTCGCCGCCCCCAGCAACGCTTGTCTTGTCTTGCTTTTAGGTGATGACAGAGGGTGGCCACAGCAAGGGATTTGGCTTTGTGTGTTTTTCCTCTCCAGAAGAGGCGACAAAGGCTGTGACAGAGATGAACGGGTGTATCGTGGGCACCAAGCCACTGTATGTGGCACTGGCCCAGCGCAAAGAAGAGCGGAAGGCCATCTTGACCAATCAGTACATGCAGCGCCTCTCCACAGTGCAGGCCTTGGGCCGCCCTGTCATGGGCTCCTTCCAGCAGCCCAACAGCTTCTTCTTGCCTGCTGTGCCCCAGGTGATAGTCTGTGCGTAGCTCCCGCCCACCACCTCCAGACAGCTCCCTAGAGCAGGGAGGTGGGAGCTTCATGGGTAAAAGTAGGTAGGGCTGAAACTTGCTAGGTAGGCCATTCGTGCCTAGTATCCCCATCTGGGAGGAGATGGATAGTATTGCTGTCAAACAGCATCTTCTAGTCTGAGAGAAATTCCTGAGTGTTGTGCAGACAGAAAATGTGGGCAACTAAGTTTGAGAGATTTTGCATTAAACAAAAGGCATCTTAACATTTCTCTACTTTGTCAGTTGCCCTCTGCTCATATATTAGTATTTATGATGACTCTTCTCAGCAGGCATGCAGTAGGTAGCATGTTCCTAACAGATGGTCATTTAGCGGGGAAGCCCATTAGCACGTTGCTTGGCTCTGAGGAGCATAGTTTGGGAAGTGTAAGTGACTGCAGGCTGCTGGGTTTGGGGTCTTCCCTCACCTTTAGCAGTTGCTTGAGCTGGCACACCCTAGAGTAGGATGTGTCACCTTTCTTCATCTAAGCCATTGAACTTGGCCTGATAAGCAAGGATTGAAATCTGATGTGGCCCTGAAGGATTCAAGGCTAATGGGCACCCTGAGAAGGGATGAAAGAGCCCTGCATGCCAGCCTTTGCTAGCCTGCCTCCTGGAGGGGAGAGTGGAGTCTTGCAGTGCTGTCTCTGAGGGAGTGCAGTTCCTTAGCCTGTTGAGCAGAGCCCCTCACTCTGTGGTCCTCTTCTCCCACACAGCCTCCAGCACAGGCTGCGTGCTACAGCGGCCCTGGCTCCGTGGCCCCTGTCCAGCCTACCCCAAGGTGGACAGCCCAGCCCCAGAGAACTTCATGTAAGTGAACTAGTCCCTTCTACCCTCAGCCCAGCCTGCAAGGGTAGGCTCTGAGAGGCAGGCAGTGTGTCCCACTGGGGCCACGCTGGCCCTGCCATTTCCTGAGTGGGTCATTTCGCCTCTTGAAGCCAGAGTTTCCTCCTCTGATCTTGGACCTGAAGGAGGTGTACGTTAAGCACCAAGCACAGGCCCACGCCTGTAAGCCAGGGGAGGGGTGGTTATTATGTGTATTTCCAAAGATGTTTCTGATTTATTATTGAAAAGTCTTGCAAAACTGAAAAACTGAACTTCCTTTGGTTGTATTGTAATGAATGGCTTTTCTTCTTAAAGGCCAAGTTCAAACTCACTTCAGACTGTGTTAGGACTAAGTGTGTGGTCGTAGGTCTTATGCACCTTGGGACTCTGGGTAGGCATGAACTGGGTTATTGCAGCCCTTCTAGCTGAATTCCCCCATCTTTCTGCCATGAATTTCTAGTTACCCTTCCCAGCCCTGGAACTTTCAGGGTATTTTGTTACTCTGATTACCACTGCCACAACTGTTCTCTCCATTTTTCTCTGTGCCACAAGCTGTCTGCCCTCCAGCTGCCTCAGTGGTCCGGCCCCCAGGCTTGCCCCGGCGCCCCCGGGCCCATGTCAGCAGTGTCAGGCAGGCCTCTACCCAGGTGCCACACCTGGCACCCCACACCAAGAGAGTGGGTGAGTGTGGGCAGGGCAAGAAGAATGGGAGTCAGAGGAGGGTGGGGCAAGGTCATGGTGCTGGGGTTGCCATTGGAGGGAGTCAGGACTGGCCTTCATAGTGACTTGCCTTCTTGGTGAGCCAACTAGACTCTGGAGGCTGTGTGTATAGTGTAGAGTTGGCGTGGCCTCAGCTCCCGAGACCCTCCCACTCTGTGGCCTTTGCTACCTCCACTCTGATCACCTGTTTAAAATAGGGATAAAATGGGGCAGTAGTTTTGTTGTGAGAAGTTTTGAGGATATTAACCTTAGGAAGTGTTACAGCAGCTGTGCTCAACAGTGCAGATTTTGGCTCAAAGGCAGGCACATCTGTTCTCTCGTTCGGCAGATGTTCTCACATCTCTGTGCTACTCTGCATGGCACTGGGAATTATATACAAATTAGTAAGGTACAGTCCCTGATGCGAGGTTACTGTCAAGATCTGTCAAAAATCTGGCCTGGATTTTTCTTTCAAAGTTTTGGTAAAATATATATAAAACTCAACACTTAACCATTTTTAAGTATACTAGTTCAGCGATGTTAGTACCTTTGCACTGTTAGGCAAACCATCACTACATCCATCTTGAAAACGTCCTTTGTTTTGCAGAACTGAAATTCTTAACCCATTAAATTCCCACCACCTGTGGCAACCACCATTCTACTTTGCTTCTGTGGATTTAAGTACACTTAAGTACTTAATATAAATAAATGATACAGTATTTGTGACTGGCTTATTTCACACGCCACAGTGTCCTCAGGATTCACCTATGCTCTAACATGAGTCAGAATCTCCTTCCTTTTGGAAGGCTTATATATTTTTTTTTTTCTGTAATGATTCTACCATTTACATTTCCACCAGCAGCGTTCAGGTGTTGCAATTTCTTTCTCTTCTAATCTATACTTGTTATTTTCTGTTTTGTATTTTTGATAGTAGCCATTAAACTCTGCTTATTTATTTTATAGCGAACATTGGTACCCAGACTATGGGCAGGACAGCATGCTCTGCAGAAGGGCCATCTCTCCTGCCATGCACGTGTTCCTCAACTGTACGTGTCACCCACGGGGTAAGGATGGCTGCCAAGTGTAGGTTCTGGAAGTCTCAGCTCAGAAACTGGGCTCAGGTGTTAGCTTTTGGTCCTTGGTTTTCATTCTTATCTTGTAAAGTTTCCTTAGTAATGTGTACAATCATGAAATATCAACCTTTTAACACAAAAGGAAGGCAGGCCAGGGTCATAATTTACTAATTATGAGTTTTTCCTAAATTGTTACCAAAATTAATTTGGACTTCCTCAGTATTTCTGTTGAGCAGTAAGAAAAGGTATTCTAAGAATATGCATGCTGGTTGTGGTGGCAGAGTACCGTAATCTCAGCCCTTGGGAGGCTGAAGTAGGATTGTTAGGAGTTCAAGGCCAGCCTGGGGTACCTAGTGAGTTCAAGGCCAGCCTTAACTGCATAGTGAAACCCTATCTCGGAAAAAAAAGAATATGGTAAGTAGTGATGAGATGTAATTAGGCTTTAAAATAGAAGTGAAAATACCTTATAATTTAAAAAAAAGGCTGAAAAAGCTGCATCTCCTTGTCTAAAATAAAGGTTTCAAATACAGCATTATCTAGAATTTCAGTGCATCTAGTTTGAACTGTTTCTTTGCAAAATGAACAAGAGTAATTTTTAAACAGCAACAACACTTTTAAAGTGACTAAGATGAAGGGTCTGAATGGTACTGGCTAAGTTCTCATGAAGCTACCCAATAAAGTGCTTTTTTTTGGTACAAAGTGGCTAGTGACGTATGGGCTTCATTTGGCAGTGTTCATCAGGGTCTTTATGGGCTCATACATACTCATAGCTTAGAGCATATTTTTGTTTGTAATTCATATGCCCTTGGTAGGGACTTTATTCCCCTCTTCCAAAGCCTTCCTTTGGCAGCCCATGTGGACCTAACAGGGTAAGTGTGTGGAGACCGTTCCCATCTGTGTGGTTAAAGGATGTGCCCCTGGCACCATTTGCAGGTCCAGGAGCCTGCTGTGCACGTCCCTGGACAGGAGCCCCTGACTGCATCCATGCTGGCTGCAGCACCACTCCATGAACAAAAGCAGATGATTGGTGAGTGCTCCCTTTGCTGGCCAGGGAAGGTGGGGCTGGGCGCTGGCTAGCCTGTCAGGAACACCCTGAGTAAGGTCAGATGTGAAGATGAATCTTGATTTTGGTCACCAGTGAAGCTATTGGGTAACCTTATCCAAGCCACCTTGACCCTCAAAGCTTCTGTTCTCTTGTCTTAAAATATTAGTCAGACAAAGGCTCTTTCTGGCACTGCTATTCTGTGATTTTGTGGAGAATTGCATGCAGGACTGTAAGGGCCAGGCAATAGTGTAAGGGTATGTTGGTATTACAGGTCTTCACATCTCTTCTAACCAGAGGAAGCTTTGCCAAATTTCATCTGTCTTCTGGTGCCTATTGCAGGGTAGTGGGAAACATCTGTGTGTTAGAGAAGTACGGGAGGTTCCACTGGTCTCTCAAATCCTTGTGCAGTTCATCTCCACCCCCAGAGTCCGAGACAGGTCTTGCTAAAGACATTGCTAACTTTGAATAAATGAGCAGTCTCGTTCCTCTTTGTTGAGTTCTTTACTGCATGGCCAGCAAAATCTCCTGGCCTTTCAGCAGAGGCCCTTACTGGCTCCATACCATTGTCTCCTCAGCTCATTTTATTAGGGTCTTGCTACTTACTTCACATCCCATCCCACCCCACCACTAAAGAAAAATGTAAAGAGCTTAATAGAGGTAGAAAGCTTTGTTAGCAGGTCTCTGTAAACACTGCCACTCTCTTCCTGGGAAGACCCCTCACACTCCGGATGCAAGGGTGTGATCATGGCTGAACCCTCCATGCCCTTGCCAAGGTGGGTTGGCACCAATGGGAGGCCTTGTTGCTAGAAATACTTCATGGTGGGATGTGAGTTTGTTCTCTGTATTTCTGACTTCCTGCTCCCTGAAATGTCTTACGTTCAGGGCCAGGGACATAGCTCAGTGGCACAAGCACCTGCCTGGCAAGCACAAGGTCCTGAGTTTGATTCCTGGTGTCCACACACACAGAAGTCTCAAGTTCAGTATTTCCATATCCTGTCTGGTATTAATGTTAAAGTTTTTTCTTCCATAATGAACACAAATAGTCTTTTTTAAAAAATCCTGTACTCACTGTACTTGCTTGTGTTCAAGATGGGAGCCCATCATGTTGTCCAGGCTGGTTCCAAACTTCTAGTCTTCCTATCTCAACTCCCAAGTACCTGGGATCATAGGCATACATAATTGTGCTTGTATACAGGAGTATAGAAGAGTAGTTTTTTTTTTTTTT